TCTGTGGGCTTCTTCAGATCTTTGCTAGACAAAGACTTGAAGACAGACTCGGCATCAATAGTCAGAGTGACTTTGATACATAGACCACCCATTTCCAATATGTTCTTTAACTGTGTGGGGGTCAATGGTCCCGAGTGTAGCTCGTGGAGCGTTACAACGGTCGGGTAGCAGTCTTCCAAGTTGTGGGCTGCTGCCGGTGTTTCCGCAGAGTAGCTCGAACGCACCTGCAGTCGATGAGACTTGCAGTATGCGTCCACCAGGTGCACGACGGGTTTCCCCGCTTGCGTGTGGCCACGCCTCAGCAGGTTAGCCCCGCGGATACCGTAGCCATTGACTTCGTCGTCTTCATCTCCGTTGAGACGACGATAGCCAGAATCGCTATGCAGGTCGACCTCTCCTGTTGGAGTCATAGCTTGATACACGATCTTCTTCGGACCTGCCTGCAATTTCCTGGTAACCGCGTTCAGTCGTCGTACCTGGATGTTTGTCGGTTCCTGGATACGTGGTAGTGAGACAACATAGACCATCAGCCATACCTGCGCGATCAACGCATAGGCTAGAGCGCCACGAAGACTGACGAACATATCAGAAATCGTCTTTGTCGCTTTGCTCTCAGGATCAGCGCCCGTGAGTTCTGGATGTGTGATAGGACGAAGCTGTTTGATGTATTCGTCCTGATCAAGAGTGACGCTCCCATCATCGGTCTTGTTGTACCGAACGGCACAATTTGTATATGTGTGCTTGTTCAGTTTGCACTTTCCAAACGTATCTTCAACACATTTGACGTACTTATCAATGGAATCTTCCTTCCCAGTCATATTGATGTCATCAACGTGTTTGGCTGTCAAGAGGTTTGAACTCATCTCGAACTCTTCATCGTATGAAGTAGGCTGCAGTCCAAAGCTCCTGGTGATGGACCTGAGCTTCAGCGAGAATGCCCTGGGAGCATCCTTCGTGCCAGTCCCCGGCTTCAGGCACCGAAGACAATGCTTTGATTCGTCGCATGGCTCAAAGCCTGGCAATGTGCGAAGGACAGCTGCTGACCCAGGAGGTAGTGCGAAGCACACCACACGCTCTTTCTCGCCCGTTGCCGCGGCGAGCTCGCTATAGGTCAGTCCCTTCAAGAAAGCCATGTTGATATCCAGGGAAGCGATGATCCAAGCTTTGTTGCATGCAGCAGAACTTGCGAGCAGTCTCTGGCTTGACCTCCTTGCCGTGCCAGAGAAGGTTTCGACATCGAAGGCTTCAATGTCCATGAAGCCACGAAGTACCAAGCGTAACCTGATCGTCCGTTCCATTTCGCCCTTCTCGTTCTTGACAAACTTCCATTTGTATACATAACGTGAAGTCATGATGTTCGACGCTTTGCTCAAGTCAGTCATCTGGAAGCATTTGTTGCCAAGCCAAGTCTTCAATTCTGTAAAAAAAAAGAAAAAAAAAAAAAATAATAATAAAAAAAAAAAAAAAATAAAAAAAAAAAAAAAATAAAAAAGTAAAATAAAAATAAAAAAGAAAAAAAAGAAAAAAGAAAAAAAAAAAAAAAAAAAAGAAAAATAATAACAGGGAAAAAAAAAAAAAAAAAAAAAAATAAAAAAAAAAATAGCAAAAAAACAAAAAAAAATGAACAAACAATAAAAAAAAAAAAAAGATAAAAGAACATAAGAAAAACGATTAAAAAGAAAAAAAAAAAAAAAAAAGAAATAAAAAAAAAAAAGAAACAAAAAATTAGAAAAAAAAAAAAAAAAAAAAAAAAAAGAAAAAAAAAAAAAAAAAAAAGAAAAAAAAAAAAAAAAAAAAACAAAAATAAAAAAAAAAAAAAAAAGAACAAAAAATAAAAAAAAGAAAAAAAAAAAAAAAAAAATAAAAAAAACAAAGAAAAAGGGACTTTGAAAACCTTATGACTAATCGGATTCGCTTGAATGTCGGCCTTCGTGAGTAGGTCGTCTTCTTTGACGACCACGGCACGTTTGGAGGCAGCACTAACATATACTCGCATAGTTGTGACGCTGCTGTCATCCAACAATCGGTGTTGCTGCTCAGACAGGACGACCTTGGACATGTCTGCTGTGAAGCAAAGCTCGATGTACTTCCCGTGCTCGTCGGAGTCCAGATCATAGTGGCTGTCCGGATCAGTGGAGCACAGAGGAACGTAGTGAGAAGTGTCCATGTCGCATCCTGGCGGGTGACCCAGCACCGGCAAGTGGCCTTGCACATCTTCACAGGTCGTAGAGACCAACACGCACTGTGAGTCTGTCATGTATGTAGGAACTGTGTGCATGACTTCTTCTGTGTCAGCTTCAAGGAGTGTTCTGTCATCCATCAGTTCAGCATACCATGACTCCAAGACAAAGACATCCAGATCCTCTTCTGTTTCCTCTATGATGGTCGGGAGCCGACCATCATTCGCCGCAGGAGGCTGCTCAGGAGCAGCTGCTGGAGGTGGCTCGCTTGGTGGTGGACCATCAGCAAGTTCCTCAAACTTAGTGAGGTCTCGGTCGAATCCAGCAGGCGGCTTCTTGGATTTAAGACACTGGATGATGCGTGAGTGTGTAGATCCTGTGATGTCGTAGATGTTCAAGGCAGTGCCATCAGCTTCATAATAATGAAAGCCAGGGGTCACATCGTTATCATAGTGCACTAGTGTACAGCTGTCTGCATATGGTGCAGCAGGCAACTTAGTCAGGCTCTCAGCAAGTCGTACAGCAACCACGTTTTCAATGCGAAAATAGTTGCGAATGAAATATTGAAGAGCCAAGTGCACCTTAGGCGAAAGCCGGCTCGCAGCAGTCATCTGCAGTCGGCCCTGTTTCGCTGGTAGGTATCCGAAAGTCATAGCGGGTTTCCCCGCTGGCAGACCGGCAATAAAGGCCAATACTGTCCGAAGGGCCGCATTGTCCGATCCTATCTCGCGGACCATCAGTGCTTCGATGTACAGCGTATGTCGTGCGTCAGGATACTGTACTCGCACTTCGCGACTGCCGACCTTCACGATGACCTGGCCTTGGTCAGGTTCGTTGCGGATGACCGGGTATGGACCACTCCATCCACCCCAGTCGTCTTTCGTGGTGGTCGGGCGATGATAGTCCACGAGATCTCCCTCTTTGTAGTGAAATTCACCCGTAGCAGTAGTCTTCGTACGGAGAGCCCTGTTCGTCTTGGCAACCGCAGTGGCCTGCGTGATTGC